GCTTTTCATCTGTCACGGGAGCATCCCCAGCGTGACAGATTTCACGCTCTGTTAATCTGCTAAATTTAGATAGCCTGCAGATTTTTTTTTCGACATTCGACTTTTTTTATCGCACACTCTCTGATTCAATAATAAAATAATATGATTACAATATAAACAATAATAATAATAATAATATTATCATTATTATCGTTCATCACTATTACTATTACTATTGTTATGATATTTGTTTTAACTTTATCATATTTTGTCCTCCATTTTAGTCTTTTTCCTTATTAAATTTCCTATATATCTTCAGCTAATGACCTTTGACCTCTTGCGACTCTCTCCAGCTCCTCCATCTCGCATCAACTTCCGCCATATGTCCTATTTACTTATTTATCCTCCTCTCTTCTCATGTATATCACTCAACACGAAAGTTTTTTCTTCGTCCTTCCTTTATTTTGAGATCGAAATTTTGTCTTGTAGCTTAAACCGTGTCTTAAGTATTTTTCTTAATTAAGCCGACGCACTGCTCTCATCAACTCCTTTGCACATCTCTTTTCTCAAACTTCTAATTCGCACTTTTTTTTTCTTTCCTCTGTTATTCATTCGCACATCAGTTTTTGTTTTCTTAATTCGCACTCCTCATTCGTCAGTTTTTAATTCGCACTCCACTTTCGTTAGTTCTTAATTCGCACTCTCCTTTCTTCAGGGCTTAATTCTCATTCCTCATTTGTCACTTCTTAATTCTCACTCCTCTTTCGTCAGTTCTTAATTCGCACTCTTCTTTCTTCAGGGCTTAATTCGCACTCCTCAACTTTCTCTTTATTGCTACACTTTACACGCGTCTGCTCTTCTATTAACGAGTTTCTGGGCGTGGTTCCTCACTCATAGGCTTTCGCTGTTATATTTCCGTTATTTTAGTTGTAATAGTTTTTGTTTGTATGCCCCTTCCTATCTTCCTATCCTATGTCTTTGTCCTTGTTTTTCACATTCTTTTCTCTGGGTTTTTATCCTATCCTCATTCTTGTAAATTTTCCGGTCTCTTATTGCATATGCCTTTGTTTCTCACTCCCTTTGTCTTCATAACTTTTTTTTCTCTCTCTCTCTCTTTCCGTTCATTATCTATTAATAATCGTTCTCATATCCAATCTTTCATCTCAGAGTCTATCAACAGATAAATCTATCTGTTTAATTATCTCCCCATTTACTTCCACATCCCGCTTATCAAACAATCCTTATAATCACTCTCTGCATTATCAATTTATCGTTATTCCTTTGTTTCCTTATCTTGTGTCACCCTGTCCACGTGGAGGTGCAGGCGAAGGGCGTGGCAAAGGCGCTCAGCTCTAATAAGGCGCGCGTAACCTTGGGTGATGAAGCTTCGCGGTTCACTTGTCTGTCTCGGTTCATAAGAATCGGGCGTTTGATTCATGATGAAACTGATATGGATGTCTTGTGATACGTCTGTCCATGATGTTAATTGAGCTCGCTAAGAGATCAATAGATGTCATGAGTAATTGTCTCGATTCTTTTTTTATGTTTACGAGAAGATCTGTAATTCAGTGGTTCGTGATGGTCGAAGCGGTATCGGATCTTCGAGTCTAAATTTCGTTTAGGGAAAAAATGGGGATCTTTTCTCCGTGATTCTACCCGCAAAATGCACCAATCAACATGTTTACAGAGGAAGTGGTGCAAACACGATCTCTTGCAACATGAAGCCACGTCTCGGAAAGCCCTTTGAACCAATTACCTCGTCTCAATGCGAGGGAAAAGGCCTTGGCATATCTCTTCGCCAAAGGGTATGGGCACGAAAGCCTCCTTGACAGCCTGCCACGTTATGCAATGCGGCAGCGAAGAAAGAGACCGTTATGCGCGTCGCCTCACCTGCCAGATATGTTGCACATGGTGAAGCCGCAGACATGTTGCGGTGGGACCTCGCGTGAGAGAGGAAATATATGTATTTTTTTTTGTGTGCTGATTTTTGAACGGGATTAGTGTGTCTGTATGTGCGTGAAAGAGAGAGTGACTGGGTAAGAGGGAGATTGGAAGGGACGTACACGCACACGCACACGCACGCACGCACGCACGCGCGCACGCGCGCATATCTATATAGTTATTTATTTACTTATTAAATTTATTTAAATAATCTTTTACAATGCGTGTGCATTTGTCAGAGCAGGTGTTCTTGAGTGAGTAAAAGTATGTAGATTTTCTTTTTTTTATTCTTGGCAACAAAGTAACATTACCGTTCAGCAAGGAGTGAGTCACTTGAACAAAAACAAGACTTGAATTACAGACAATAGGGTGTTCTTCGAGCTCTGAGATCTGTCCAGTGGAACGCCTGTGATGCCTAATTTTAGCTTCCGTGATAAACCATCTGGCTATCTGTTTGTCTAGTAGTCAACTAATCTATTCTCCCTTGCTCTTTTCCTCTCTCTTCCTCTCTCTGTCTCTGTCTGTCTGTCTGTCTGTCTGTCTCTGTCTGTCTCTGTCTCTGTCTCTGTCTGTCTCTGTCTCTGTCTCTGTCTCTGTCTCTGCTCTCTCTCTCTCTCTCTCTCTCTCTCTCTCTCTCCTCTCTCTCTCTCTTCTCTCTCTCTCTCTCTCCTCTCTCTCTCTCTCTCTCTCTCTCTCTCTCTCTCTCTCTCTCTCTCTCTCTCTCTCGTTTTCTCTCCCTCTCCCTCCCCTCCCCCGCCCTCGCCCTCTTCCTCTTCTCTTCCTCCCCCCCTCCCTATATCTAAGTGTGTGTATGGTCGTGTGCATGTGTGTGGTGTGTTTATGGCGTTTGCGTGTGTGTAATTTTCCAGCTATCGTTCTCATTATGTTTTTTTTTCTCTTACCTTTAAGTAGTAAGGTTTTCCAGATTTTGAAATAGATTGTTGACGCGATGAATGAAGAGAGAGAAGGAAGAGAGAGAGAGAGAGAGAGAGAGAGAGAGAGAGAGAGAGAGAGAGAGAGAGAGAGAAGAAGAGAAGAAGAAGAAGAAGAAGAAGAAGAAGAAGAGGGAGCGGCAAGGGAGAGAGAAAAAACAAGAAAAAAGAATAAAAATGAGATCGAGAGATACAGACAAACATAAAAAGAGAAGAAAAAAGAAGTGGAAAAAGCCTGGAATGCAATCCGGATATAGTCGACGCCGTCACCGACCTCGACCGAAGTGGCAACCCCAGGCACCGGTGCCCGTCCAGAGTGCCTCAGTCATTTCATTGCAGGATCTCCCCAGTTTCGCAATTAGTTGAATCTCGTAATGGTGGTCGGTGATAATTGCTTTCTTAATGACATTCGCAAATAACAAAGGATAGTAAAAGTGGCTCTTTATGATAAGAGCAACGGGGGCATTCTCAGTAATATAAATGCAAAACAAAAAACAGTAATGATGGCCACTGTTTGTGATATTCATTAAAAACAAGGAAACTAAGAGTGATGATAATGGTATCAATGATTTCGTGGAAAACTAATGACAGTATTGATGACATTCTTAGTGATATTCGTGAAAAAGATAAACAAAGAACAGAAATATGGCTTTCTTTTGATATTCTCGACAGGCAAAGAACAAAACTAATTAATGATATTCTTATAATAATTATACTATATTATAATATAATGATATTCTTATAATCTTAATGATATTCGTTTGAAACAAAGAACTAACAATGGATTTTTTAAATATTAATGAAAAAAGAACACGTTAATAATGGCATTCTTACTGATACGGAAGACATGACGGTAAACACTGATAACAAAACTTTCATGAAGTAATCAGTTGACATGCAAGTAAACAACAACAATATCAATATCAATTATGGCCCCGGGCGTTGGAGACAAACACAATATCAGCATCAGTTATCAGTTATATCAGTTAACTGCCCAATCAAAGTCACTTCACACCTCCCTGCTACGGGATCGCCCCCCCCCACCAGGCCCCATTTCTTAAAAAAAAAAAAAAACACTCGTTTCATAAATCTGCAAAACTCGTCGAAATGTCCTCAACATTGATCTTGAAGACGCTGAAAAATCCTTGGGTGTATCACGTGACGAATGTTTTTTTTTTTTTTTCTTTTCTTTTTTTATTTTGTTTCGTACATGACATTGTCAAGGTTTGGTGATGGTTGGACATCTTTTTTTCCCGTAAGTCGTGTCTGTTCTGGACAGTTTGGGAATTTTTCGCTATAAAAAGGTTTTATTGATTTACTTTTTGTTGTGTGTATGGATGGAAGACGTGGGATTGTGTAGTGACATGAGAAGAGGAGGGAGGTTGGGAGGGATAGAGATAGACAGAAAGATAAATAGAGAGAAAGAGAAAGAGAAAGAGAGAGAAAGAGAAAGAGAAAGAGCGAAAGAGCGAAGAGAGAGAGAGAGGAGAGAGAGAGAGAGAGAGAGAGAGAGAGAGAGAGAGAGAGAGAGAGAGAGAGAGAGAGACAGAGTTACAAAGAAACATAGAAAGAGAGAGAAGTGAAAAAAAAAAATACTTCTGGAATGCACTCCGGATATAGTCGACGCCGTCACCGACCTCGACCGAAGTGGCACCCCAGGCACCGGTGCCCGTCCAGAGTGCCTCAGTCATTTCATTGCAGGATCTCCCCAATTTCGCAATTAGTTGATTCTCGTAATGGTGGTCGGTGATAATTGCTTTCTTAATGACATTCGCAAATAACAAAGGATAGTAAAAGTGACGTTCTTAATGATAAGAGCAACAGGGGCATTCTCAATAATATTCATGTAAAACAAAGAACAGTAATGATGGCAACTGTTTGTGATATTCGAGGGGTGGATAGAGAAGGAGAGAGAGAGATAAAGGGAGAGAAAGAGAAAGAACGAAAGAGAACAAAAGACAGAAGGAAAACACAACATAAAATTCTAAAACGAAACAAGACATATAAGCCACATCTTAAGAGATAAAGGGAGAGAAAGAGAAAAAACGGTAGGGAACGAAAGACAGAAGGAAAACACAACATAGAACTCTAAAACGAAACAAGACATATAAGCCACATCCTAACCCCTCAATTCCCTTTTCCTTCCAGATGAAATAGAGAAACGACAGGCCAGTGAGCCGGAGCGCCGCGTGGTCTGCTACTACACAAACTGGTCGGTGTACAGACGGGGGCTGGCGAAGTACACACCGCAGAATATCAACCCTTACCTGTGTACTCACCTGGTCTACGCCTTTGGAGGACTCACCGACGAGTTTGAGGTCAAGCCTTTCGACACGTATCAGGATATTGAGCAAGGTAAAGGAGGTGGTTTTGTTCTCTTTGGTTTTGTGTAGTTTTGCGTACGTATATGCATGGGTGTGTTTATAATGTGTATAAACGGACGCGCAAACGCATACACATACGCACACACATACGCACACGCACACGCACACGGACACGGACACGGACACGAACACGAACACGCACACGCACACGCACACGCACACACGCGCACGCACACGCACACGCACACGCACACGCACACGCACACGCACAAATTCAGATTCCGTAACAATCCAAGTATACCCAGACACAACAGACTCCCACTTCCAAACGCACCAAACTGCCACTTTTCAACCTCTTTTACACAAACTATACCCCCTCACCCTCCCCCTCCCATCCTCCCTCCCTCTCCTAACACCAACCCCTCCCCCCCTCCTCCTCCCTTACACCAACCCCCTCCCCCCCTCCCCCACCAACCCCCTCCCCCTCCCTCCCTCCCTTACACCAACCCCTAACCCCACCTCCCTCCTCCCCACAGGCGGCTACGCAAAATTCAACGGCCTGAAACAGTACAACAAGGGCTTGAAGACCCTGCTGGCGATCGGCGGCTGGAACGAGGGCTCGGGGCGTTTCAGCGAGCTCGTGTCCCTCCCGGAGTACCGCAAGACGTTCATTATCTCGGCCATTAGGCACCTGAGACGCTACAACTTCGACGGCCTCGATCTGGACTGGGAGTACCCGGCGTCTCGCGATGGCTCGGCGCCCGAGGACAGGGAGAACTACGCTGCGCTGGTCAAGGTAAGGGGGTCGTCTTCGGCTCGGGATGGTAGTTTATTTATTTATTTTTGTTTATTTATTTGTTTATTCATTTGTTTATTTATTACTTTATTTATTTGTTTATTTGTTTATTTATTTGATTTTGTGTCGGCGTTGGAGGAGCGCTGGTCAAGGTAAGGGGGTCGTCTTCGCTCGAGATGATAGATTTGTTTATTATTTGTTTGTTTATTCATTTGTTTATATTATTTTGTTTATTTATTTGTTTATTTATTTTTTATTTGATTTTGTGTCGGTGTTGGAGGAGCGCTGGTCAAGGAAAGTGGTAGTTTGTTTATTTGTTTATTTATTTGCTTTTATGTCGGTGTTAGAGGTTGTTTTTAGTTTGTTGTTGTTGTATAGTTTCATTGTCTGTCTTGTTTGTTTTCTTTTTCTGTATCATTCCATTTATATCTCCGTTCTGTCTCTGTCTGTATACATGTTTGGATGAATGCATGTCTGAATGTTTGTCTGGCTCCTACCCCCCCCCCCCCCCTCTCCGTCTCTCTCTCTCGCTTCTCTCTCTCTCTCTCTGTCTCTTCTCTTCTGCTCTCTCTCTCTCTCTCTCTCTCTCTCTCTCTCCTCTCTCTCTCTCTCTCTCTCTCTCTCTCTCTCTCTCTCTCTCTCTCTCTCTCTCTATTTCTCTTTTCTCTCTTCTCTCTCTCTCTCTTTCTCTCTCTCTTCTCTTTCTCTCTCTTTCTCTTTCTTTCTCTCTCTCCTCTCTCTCTCCTCTCTCTCTCGTCTGCTCTTCTCTCGTCTCTCTCCTCTTTTCTTTCCTTTCTTCTTCTTTCTTTCGTTTCTTTCTTTCTTTCTTTCTTTCTTTTCTTTCTTTCTTTCTTTCTCTGCTCTCTTCTCTCTCTCGTCTCTCTCTCTCTCTCTCTCTCTCTCTGTTCTTTCTCTCTCTTTCTTTCTTTCTCTTCTTTCTTTCTTTCTTCTTCTTTCTTTCTTTCTTTCTTTCTTTCTTTCTTTCTTTCTTTCTCTCTCTCTCTCTCTCTCTCTCGTCTCTCCTTCTCTCTCTCTTCGCCCCTTCTTTTTCTCTCTCTCTCTCTCTCTCTCTCTCTCTCTCTCTCTCTCTCTCTCTTCTCTCTCTCTCTCTCTCTCTCTCTCTCTCCTCTCTCTCTCTCTCTCTCTCCTCCTCCCTCTCTCTCTCTCTCGCCCCCCCTCTCTCTCTCTCTCTTTCTCCTTCCTTTGTCGCTCTTATATAAAACCTGCAATATGTGCCTGTAATGAGAAATAATGAATGTAACTAAATTATTTTCAAGCAGTAAACAAAATATAAAGAAAGAGATAAAAAATGATGGATATTCGACTCGTAAATCCTTCGTTTCTTAATAAATGAATTAATGAAAAAGAGCTACATGGAGAGTAAAGGTTGGGTCATAAAAAATACGTTTCATAAGTCTTTCTCATTGCTTCACTAAACGTACTATAATGATTAGTCTAAACACACGGAAAGGACACACGCAATAACAAACAAACAAACAAGAACAATAATAATAGATAAAAGAAATAAGAACAGATCGTTAAGTTCTTTTACCAAATAATGCGAATCGTGAGAGTTGCTTTAAGATTTAAAGAAATAATAAAGATTTAGTCTCGTAAAACAGTCAAGGACAAGGTACCCATGAATGGTCATTTAGCAAAGTAGAACACGTTGTTTTTTCCCTTCTCCTTCTCTTTTTTTGGGTATTCCTTTTTGGCTATTTTTGGGGATATTTAAAAAGAATCGCTTTAAAATCCAAGTTGTTTTTCTCTTCTCTTTTTGTTTGGGTATTCCTCTTTAGCTATTTTTTGGGGATATTTAAAAAGAATCGCTTTAAAATCTAAGTTGTTTTTCTCTTCTCTTTTTTGGGGTATTCCTCTTTAGCTATTTTTTGGGGATATTTAAAAAATAACCGGTTTAAAATCCAAGGCTAATTCTCAGTCCCGAGATTCCAAGGTCAACCTCTTCCGTCTAACTCGCTTCAGTAACTTCAGCCCTGAAGTGTAACATCTGCTGCTCGAGTCTGACCTTGCTTGATCACTTTACTACCCCGAGGCAACGCCCCCAAAAAAGATAATTGATGCGTAGATGAACAAAGGAAGAACAAAGACAAAGTGTGCGTTGGAATTGTTTTTGTTTGTCTTCCGATGTCTTGTTTGTGTGTTTGCTAGTTGATTTACTGTAGACGATATCGATAAAATAATTGTCAAATGCATGAATAGAAAAACAAGGACAACCAACGCATTTAGAGATCACTATATGAACACGTGAACAGAGGAAGAACAAGAACAATAAATTTTTAAAACAGCCAACTAGTCTCCACTCTCTTGTCTTTATTTGATGTAGTTTCACCATGTCAATCCAGTGCATTTACAAGGAAACAATAACGAATCTATTATGACTCTATCATTTGCATTCAGGCGTTGCTTCCTTCCAGCCATTCATAGAAAGATTAATAAAAAATAACGAGTGATATCTCACACAAGCTGCTTTTTCCCCCCTTGTCCCCAGCCTATTATGAAACAAAACTATCTTTCCTTTACCATCAGATTCGACAACGCGACACAATGGCAAGGTTAAAAGATACAAATCCAGTATCTTTTTGCTCAAAAACACCGAACAATTGTCCCGTTTCCTTGAGAATTAATGTACATAGAGATAAAAAAAAAGATATATATTTAAAAAAGGCGATTTGAAGAGCGGTGGACGCCTGACACTACTCCTGACAGGCCTTGAGAAGTGACTGGACGAGGCGCTGTTGCTGATCCGGTTGCTGTGACCTATTTAATGATGCTTCTAAAGTTCCTATGGCGTCTAGGAGGACGTATGGGCAGATTGTATGTATGGGTGTGTGTGTGTGTGTATATGAGGACTTAGATGTATGGGCGTGTGTGTGGTGTATAGTTTATTGTATGGTGTGTGTATATGTGGTGTGATTTTTGTAGGCTTATGATGGGATTTTTGTATGTTTGGTGGGGATGTGTATGATGATTGATATGTATTGTGATGTTTAAGTGTATGATGTGTTTTTTTTATATATATGTGATCTGTGTATGTGTATGATGTGATATTTCTATGTATGATGTGTTATTTATGTATATGTCAGTAGCATAGTTATTTTTCATATAATGAACGTAGCAAATTTTCACTTTTCGTTTGGCAGTGTCACTAGGAACCTGTCTCTTGCTTTCTGTTGCATTTCATATTTTTGGCATTTTGTATTTTATTGCATTTTATTGCGATATATAACCGACACTTTAAGCGTCACGTCACCACACTTGCCTGCCTCGAAGCCGTTCAAAGAGAAAACGAGAGAAAGAGAGAAAGATTACGACGAAGATAAGAGAGAAAATAGTAAGAACTTGCTTTCATTTTTTTTTTTTTTTTTTTTTTTTTTTTTAGAAATTATAGAGAAGAGGTAGATTCTGCGCATTCCTTTCTTTTATCGTGAAGTTCCTTGTGTTTACGAAGGCAAAAATGCCAGAGATTCTTGAGTGCGTGTACGAGTCGGCAACCTCGGCGAGTGTTGCAAGAGTATTACGTCATAGTTAACCTGTCACTCTTGCCTCTTTGGTGTCTCTGTCTCCTCATTTTAGTTGCTTTCACTCTCTCTCTGTCAGTCTCTCTTTCTGTCTTCTTTCTTTCTCTCTGTCAGCTCTGTCTCTCTCTCTCTCTCCTTCTCTCTCTCTCCTCTCGGTCTCTCTCTCTCTCCTCTCCCTCTCCCTCTCTCCTCTTCTCCTCTCTCCCTCTCCCTCCCTCTCCCTCTCCCTCTCCCCTCTCCTTCCTCTCCTCTCCTCTCCCTCCTCCCTCTCTCCTCTCCCTCTCCCTCTCCCTCTCCCTCTCCCTTCTCTCTCTCCCTCACCTCTCTCTCGACCCTCTCTCTCACCCTCTCTCTCACCTCTCTCTCACCCTCTCCTCTCCTCTCTTCTCTCACCTACTCTCTCACTCCTCTCTCTCACCCTCTCCCTCTCTCCCTCCTCCTTCCTCCCTCCCTCTCCCATCTCCCTCACCCTCTCTCTTTCTCTCTCTCCCTCTCTCTCCCTCTCCCATCTCCCTTTCCCCTCTCCATCCCCCCTCTCCCCCTTTCTCTCAGTAACTTTGAAAACAGACGAACCGAGACAACCATGAACTAATAGACAGCAATTAGAGAGTGTGAGAGAGAGAGAGACAGATTAGGAGAGCGACACTTAACGCAGCAATTAGAGAGTAAGAGAGAGAAAACCATAGCCTTTAAGGGCGAATTCACACCGCACGTAGGCCCTTAAATCGACCATCTGTGGGTCTTAGACCTCACGCGAGAGCCGAAACTTCGAAGGGAAAAGAAGTGTTTCAAAAGTCCGTCGTTTTCGTGATAATTCCGGGTTGAGTTGTGGATCCGATGGCGTTAATAACTCCGGGTTGAGTTGTGGATCCGATGAGGTTATGTACGGAGTCGTCGGTTGAAAAGTTTTTTTTATATTTATATATATTTTTTATGTTCGTATGGGATAAAAGAAAGAGAGAGAAGGGGGGGGTGGAGAGACGGAGGGAGGGGAAAGAGGGATGGAGGAAAAATAGGGAGGGAAGGAGGGATGGAGGAGAAATAGGGAGGGACGGAGATTGGAAGAACCATAGCACACAAGCAGATGAAAGAAAAACCCCATGCCTTACCCAAAAATCCCATGTTGTATAGAAAATCCATTCCTTAGCCCCATAGAAAACCTCCCCCCTATAAAGATAACCCCTCCCCCCCATAGAAAACCCCTCCCCACAGAAAACCCATACCCCCTCCCATAGAAAACCTCCTCCCCCCCCTCCCCCACAGAAAACCCATACCCCTACCCTCCCACAGAAAACCTCCTCCCCCCCCCATAGAAAAACCCCTCCCCCTCCCCAGAAAACCCTCTCCCACAGAAATCCCATACTCCCCTCCCCCCTCCCCCACAAAACCCCATACCTCCCCCACCCCATAGAAAACCCCTCCCCCCTCCCCCTACAGAAAAACCCCTCCACTCCCCCTCCC